AAAACTGTCCAATGAACAGAATTGATAATAAAGATTTCATTAAAAAGAAATAGGACAAAAATGAAATAGTATCAATCAAGCAAGCAAGCAAGCAAACAATATATGCAAAGCAAATCAACAGGTAAGAAGGCAAAAGAGTTCACAAACTATGTGTTGGTGTTTGAACATGAAAGCAAGTTTGGATAAGTGAATGTAGTGGGTTTGTCTAGTGGATAAGGTAGATCTGGACTGAGTCATGTCAAAATGCAAGCTATCCCATTTTATTGGCTAAGAAAAATATCCCAGCATGCATTTTGTGAACATTTGCCTATAAAAGGGGAGGGGGGAGTTTTGCCGTTATTCTTGTCGTTGTGAAAATCAACATCTTTTAACATGTGTTCCGTTTACTTAGGTACCTCCACAGATTTGCTGAAAAATGAACATACCATGGTGAAAAAAAATGTCCAAAACTAAAAGACAAAGTTTTATTGTCAAAGTCTTTGTTATTATTAAGAGGAAATACCAAAGGAGTTTTTGATTATTAAATTATAGTTTTTGATTCTATTTAGGATGTTAAAAATTTTGAAATTAATATAGGAAATGTATAGGAAAATTAGTGTTTTTTTTGGTTTTTTTTTTCGCATTGATTTTGAATTTCTTACAAAAATTAAATTGTCAGATTTTAATGAAAATTTCAGGATTTATTCCCAAATGAATGAAATATTTTAGAAATGTTTCTTTAGAAAATCTGGTTAAAAATTTTTTTTTTTTTTGCATAATGTTACCCGCCACCTTGTTTAATTTTATGAAATTTTAAGAAATAATTTTTTTGTACTGCTTAAGGTTTGTATTACTTAGAGAATTTAAATAATCAATTTGGTGGTGGGGGGGGACAGAAATCCCAGTTACTGAAAAATTTTTCTGTATCATAAAATAAAAAAAATGGAATAAAACTAAGACATTATTTAATTAGGAAAGCTTTTAGTTGCTTTTATGAATAAGATATATTATAGACACTATTGTCTTAAGAAAAATTTTTTCAACGATTGATGAAATTTTATAAAAATTGTTTTCATTTTTTTTTTTTTTTTTTTTAAATTTTAATTAAAATTATTTATAAACTTTTAAATCTTTTAAAATTCTGTATTAATTTGTACTGGTTAGATGATATTTTTAAGTAAAAACTATATTTACTAATCATAAATGGAAAAGCTTACAAAAATTCAGTGACCCCCCCCCCCCCATTCCCAAAAATACTTCAAAATAATTTTGAATTTTTCTTTGTGTGTATAAACATGCTGATTTTTGTAAATATCAACATCCATACATAACATTATTAGAAAATATGGGCAATAATTTTAGTAAATTTAAGATTACTGGGTAGTTAAAAATTATATAAAAAAGGCATTAACATTATATTCCTCAACTAATTTTTACAGATATGCCCACCATAGAAAAATTTAGATAAACTTTCATTTGTTAGTCAACCTGTCAACACCTAAAATAAATACCTATGTTGTGTTAAAAAATGCATTTCTGTGATATCTTAAATTCAGTGTAAGTAATATTTGTTTCAAATCAGATTGATTAAATTTTAAACTGGCTAATATTTCTCAAATAATGTTTCAGAAAAGTATATTTTATTTTTGAAAGATATTCTTAATAAAGAGAATTACATTGCGATGTCAGATGGTGCTAAAATCAGTACTTTTTAGTTATTTCAAAACAAACATTCCTTCCAATCAATTTAAAATAGTTTTGAAATAGAGCAAAGTATTTTGCTTATTGGAAATTTTATATTTAATCTATTAGTTTGAAATTAAAACTAAAATAAAAGTTTCAAGAAAGAATTTTCATTTTTAAAAATTCATTTTAAACCTTTGGTATCATGTTTCTGTGAATGTACCTACATTTACTGCTATATTTTCTTATTTTCTTTTACTTGATCACGTTTCAGTAATATCTTGAATTTTAGTTGATCTATAACTGGTTTTATCAAATTTCCAATTCTAAATTATTTGTCCATTTAAGATACTACATTTATTAGAAAATATATTCAGTTTCAATACAGAAAAAGTAATAAAAATGACGTCAAAAGGGCAGCACATTTTAACTTAGGCTCTTTTTACTGTTATCATTGGGTATTGTCAGACAGAAATGCAAATTAGACTTGGGGGGACATTGACATCCATTTCAATTTTATTCGAATTGTTTATGTATTTAACTTTTTGTTTGCGTATGCATAATTTAATTCAATGACAGACCTAAAATGAATCCGCCAGTAAAAAAAAAAAAAAAGCATTTATGTGAAGCAGAGAAGTTCAGCCCTTCCTTTATAATATAGATTAGTAAGAAAAAGGAAGAAAAAAAAAAGAAACTACATCTAAATTATATAATTCCTGATCATAAAGTGCTCCTAATTTCTGATAATGCTGTATATTGGACATCCATATTTACAGAAATTGTCATGTTTATAGACACAAAATAAAAATTCAAAATTCATTTTAAAATACTAGAGGTTGCTGAATTGTAATAAGCTTTTCTATTCATGATTAATAAATGCAGCTTTTATTTAATAACAATATTACTTGACCACTACAAATTAATGCAGATTTTAAAATTAAAAATTTTTATAAATTATTATAATTAAAATTTAAAAAAAAAAAAAAAAAAATGAAAACAATTTTTGTAAAAATGAATTATTCGCTGAAATGTTTTTTTTTCCTTGAGACAATAGTGTTCATAATATATTTTATTCATAAAAGCTTTTTAATTAAATAAGGTTTTAATTTTATTGCATTTTTTTATTTTATGATTAAGATTTTCTCTAACTGGAGTTCCTGTTTGACAAAAAAAAAAAAAAATTGATTATTTAAATTCTCCTAGGACTTTTCCTTATAACTAACTTAAGTGCTACAGAAATTATTTACTTTATTCAGACTGTTATCCTCATCTTCATTGACATGTTCACAATGTTTCAGCCATTGTATGCTCCAAGGTTTGGTTCACCACTGATGTAGCCTGGTATTGAACTCACAACTCTTTGGGCCTAATCACTGTATCTAATCAATGCCTCTATCCATTTGTCCTATGAAGAGTTGTGAGTTCAATACCAAGCTACAGCAGTGGTGAACCAAAACTTGCGGAGTTGAGTTAAATGGAAATAACTGAGACATCCGAAAGAAGCATGGCACATGGAACTAGAACAATCTACCCTGGTGGACAAAGCAAAGGGTTTGGTTCGAAATTCCAATCACCTGAAGAAGGCTGGAGCATATAACAGTTGAAGCATTGTGAATATGGCAATGAAGATGAGGATAACCATTTGAATAATGTAAATAATCATAATACCTTATCTCAGAGATATAGATAGATATTGCTACAAAAATGATTTTCTTGAAATTTCATTCATTTGTGAATAAGTCCTGAAAGTTTAATTAAAATCACACAATTATCTGCTTTTCACAAGAATCTGCAAATCAATGTTTTTCACTGTCAAAAAGATGTTAAAATTTCCTATACTAATTTTCAGTCCCCATCCCCACCAGCTAATGCAAGAAAAACAAAAAATTTTAACCAAAATTTTGAATGTTCTAAAAAGGGTAAAAAAAAAAAAAAAATCTGTTCTTTTTTTCTTAATAATAACAAAGATCTTGATGATAAAACTTCGTTTTTAAGTTTATGGCATTTTTTAATGTTTTTTTTTTTTTTTTTAGCAAATCTTTGGAGGCAAATACTTTTACTTATAATTGTCTTTGTTTAAACTCTGGGAATATTTTCTTTCTAATATAGATTGATTCATTCCATCTTTGTTTTTATTGTTGTCATAATTTTGTTGTCTTTGATGCAATATTTTGATTGTTTTAACTTCAGGCCTTCTTTCTATCTGAATTTCTAAGATATTGGTACAATAATGGTTGGCCACTCATATATGCACTGGGTACACCTGTGATTTATACTGCAGCTATGCTAAACCAACAGAAATGCATCATCTGACGTGATCAAGAAGGCCAGTATGTTCAAACCCTTCGTCACAATGTCTTATGACTTTCTGCTTGCACAACTATCGACAGACAATTCTGTCTACCCAGCTTCACTCAAAAAGTCTTGGGTCAAGTCGTGGCTTTCAGCACGCACTTTCCAAAGGTGCTTTACACTGGGATAACCTCCGTCAGGCATTATAAGTTTACTGAAATTTCTCCTCTAAAAATAATTTTCTATTGTTTGGTGAAGTGTTGTCATTCATTTTATTGATCTAGATCCTGTTTTATCAGATGAATAACATCAGGAAGTCACTTTCTTGACTGATTGAACACAGTGAGATTTGAACCCAGATCTCATCATTGGAAAGCAAACATTCTAACCACATATCCATCTACATTGTTATTATAATCCAGTTTCTTTGTCATTTATCTCAGTATTTAATCTGGTCTCAACTTCTTTCTATCTGAATTTCTTTGATGGTTTATTCTCACTGCTCTATCTTGGTTCTTTCTCTCTTGTTTCTTACCATTATTCCAATATTTTGATCCCAGTATTTCTTGGTCTTCTTTCTATTGGAATGTCATCGATAGATACTATAGCTGTTACTATTATATATTGATTCTTTAGGACCATTTTCTTCATTTTTATCATATCTTCTTTAGACATTTATTATATTTGATGACCTACCAGGAACTTTAAAACTGGATTTAGATTGATAAGCTGAATGACAGCACTTTGCCAAACAATAGAAAATTACTTAAATAAACTTAAATAATAGGTTAAATCCACTTTGGCAGGAAGGGAGACAAGCCTGTTATTGCCACTGCTTAGAACACATCCATTAAGCTGAGGAATGGGAGTCTAATATCTTCAGAAATTTGTTAGCCAAGGAGGGTGAGTTTAATCCTTTGTAAGGCCACAAGAGTCAGAATAGTTAACAAAACCTTTATTTGATCCACATAATATGGTGTTCTCCTTCCCTTTCCTGTCTCATAAGATATCTTTTCAAGTAATTTCAGACTTACAAGCACATCATGTTGAAACACCGGTTCCCATACAGTCACTGAAGTTAAGCAATGTTGAGCCTGGATAGTACCTAGATCAGTGACTGGTTTTGAAAACCAGATGCTGTAAGCTTGGATTTACTGGTTGTGTATATTTTTATTTTGCAACAAGTATTTATTAACAAAAGTAAAAGGATTTTACAATTTTTTTTCAAATTAAGAAACCTTCATAAATATTCATATTAACTGAAAAGTCTAGGTAAGTTATGGAAGATGCTAAGTGACGTAATTTAATGTCTAATAAATGGAAGTAAGTAAATGATGTTGAATTTCCACTGAAACATTTGATAAATTGTTTTGTGTAAGATTCTTTTTGAGTTTATAGATAGATTTTTTAAAATTTCTGCAAGTTTCCTCGATGTACTGTGAGGAGCAGTTGTGACAGTTTGATTTTATATGTACTTGCTTCAGAATTATTATTCTTCTGGGTATATTTATTTCTGATCATATCCATAATAGTTTTAGATGTGGTCATAATTGTGTCTATATTTCTGAGATGAGGTATAATGTACACTATTTACATTAAATATATATATATATATATATATATATATATAGTAATCCATTGGTATAATCCAGGTGAGCGCTATTAAAACAACATAGAATTTGAAATATGTTAAAACTGACTCACAAAAGAGTGCTTAATGTTTATTTTTATTAAATAGAGCAAATTTTCTTGACAATTGGAATTAAGATACCTTTAATTAATGACCATTTTTACCTACAAATTTTTATTTTAAAATTTGCAGGATTTTTAAAATTCATAGGTGAAAATGGTCATTAACTAAAGGTATCTTAATTTCAATTGTCAAGAAAAAAGTGTGTGTGTATATATATATATATATATATATATATATATATATATATATATATAATATATATATATGCAATAATACATTAGAACCACTACTACAAAAACTGTACATCTTAAAAAATTTAAAAATTTTAAAAAAATTTTTAACTTTTAAAAATTGAAAAAAAAAAAAAATTTTTTTTTAATTAAAAAATTAAAAATTTTTTTGAAAAAATGCAATTAACAAAGCATATCTTCCACTTCCATCACTGGAAAGTTTCCAATAAAAGGTAAAAAGAAGATGTGCTTTGCCTTTTGGATTAAATTATTTTAGTAGCATTGTGATTTCCCACCTGATGAAACATTAAAAAAATTATTTAATGTTGAAACAAGGTGTACAGTTTTGTAGTGGGTATGTGCATGTTCTAATGTAACGCTCCATAATAAATAACTCTTCATTCTTTTACATTTGGGTATGTGTGTGCATATATATATATATATATATATGTGTGTGTGTGTGTGTGTGTAAAATTTCAGATACATTTCTGTAAAAGGACAATATGAATAAAGACAAATAAGAAAACTTATCTTAGCCAATGCTTTTTGTCCTGATGGATTTTATCAAGGCAAATGCAAAGTTTTTATTTTGAGACAAGTATTTATAAACAAAAGTAAAAGTCTTAATTTTGCAAAATTTTTCAAATTAAGAAACCCTAATAAATATTCATCAGGCTAACTGAAAAATCTAGGTAAATTATGGAAGATGCTAAGTGAAGTAATTTAATGTCTAATAAATGAAAGTGAGTAAATGATGTTGAATTTTGACTGATGGCTTGGAATTGTTAATCGGAGAGCCAAGTTCTAGTTTGCGTTTTGTTTGTTATATTCACTTACATGTGGAAAAAGTATGAATCCACCTCTTTTCCTCCAGCTATGGATTAATTAGTAAGACCTATATCACTAAACCATTATTATCTCCACAAAATAAAATATTCTTACAATCTGAAATATTTTCTGGATTTGAATAACCAGCAAAGGGTTGATAAGCTTTAGAAAATGAATCAAACTAATTTCCAAGGAATTTCAAAAGAGTGCCAGTTCTTCCTTTACAATACCACTCTGCCATTCCAGTGAACCAGTCTGCATTATTTAATCCAGGAAGTGAATTCTTACTTTCTGCAAGAAATATTTGTGTTCAAACAGAATTCTAAATGGATTCCTTTTGAGATAAGAGTGATAATGATGAAGATGTTTTCCTAGGGGGTTTAGAAAGGCTAAATCATATGGTAAAGGCTGTCAAGAGCATTACTCTAAAAAGTGTCAACTTTATTTGGAATTTATAAGGAGACCAAATTTTGTATAGTATAATAGACATCAGAGATTTGACAGAGGATATTCCCCCACCCCACCCCACCCCACCCAAAAAAAGATTTGAAACTCAACCCACTACTCAACAAGATTTTCCCAAAAGCTTATATTATAGAGATGGTTCCATAAGTGTTGTAACCTAGGGAAGGTTACTGAATAGAATAATCCCACAAAGGTTGGTAATGAATGAAAATACTTAGGACAAGAACAACACATATAAGATTAGCCAGTGGCGTGTAGAAGTAGTAGTCAACTGCTAGAAGTGGGTCAAGTGAATTCCACAATGAATCTCCAACTGCAGGATATCTACCAATGACCCCACATGGTAAGATGTGGCAAAAGGCTGTATTTAATGTGGGGTATCCGAGCCTGTAGACTCTGCCAAAAATTCCTCGTAGATCCCATACAAAATGGGGTCAGGTAGCTGTTTCCTGAGACAAGACTCTGCTCTTTGACATAGCCTCGTCTGAGGATCCTCTCTGTCTCCAGGCAGAGAGTTTGACCAGCACAGCTGGAGGCGAATCTCCAACTGCAGACCAGCATACAGTATTTACTACTGTATTTATGTGAATTGGGACATACCCATTATTGTCCATAGGTATGCTACAACAATAAGGTTAGTATGTCAGGAATAAATTAGTTAATACTGGCAATGTTTCCTCAGGTAACTAACAAACTAGCTATTTACAACCCCCCTCCCCCATGTTGGCCATGATATGACACATGGCCTTTTCAATATGAGGTTTCCATCATATAAGCATGGAACAAGACCTAAAATTTTCCTGTCAGCACGCCATCATGCTACTTCTAATATTCCACCTACCTGCTTCCTCTTTGGTGCAATGAGGGAGGTTCTGCTGCTGAGTTGGAATTTCCAGGACCATGCATCCCTCAAAGTTTGCCATGCACAGTCTAAAAACAGAGAGACATGTCCAGAGGAAAGGTATAGCCAGCCAGAAGGTGGCATGCTGGTATTTAATTACCTGCGCTCTCCTCTTCCAGTGATATAAGGTTGGATTAAAGTGGTGAACTCTAGTGTGTGCACAAGGGCTAAGGCCAAAACTTGCCAGGTCCTCACAACCAATGCCACATTGATTTTGATACCCACCCACCCCTTCACCAGGATGTTACATATCACCCAACAAAAATACAATGTCTTCTTCCTCCAGATATTCAGGCTTATGTAAATGGATGACTGCTTGGGAATATCTGTTGCTGTAAGCTTTGATGTGTAGGTGCGGTAATTAATAATAGGAAAACAAAGTGCCAAGTTCCAATTCCAGTTTTTGTTATATTCAAGCAAATACCCTAGGAAGAGGTACAAATCCTCCTCTTCTCCCACCAGCTATGGGTTAATTAGTAGGATTTGTATCAGTAAATCATTATTATATCCAAAAATTTCTTACAATCCAAAAATATTTTCTGCCCTTAAATAACCTGCAAAAGCCATAAAAAAAAACCCTGAATCAATCCAGCTATAAAATAGTAAAACAAACCAGACTTTCACACCTTGGCTAGCAACCAGTCTAGGTGAAAGAAAACTCTGAATTCAAAGCAAGAAACCACTCTATTATGTTTTCCAAGAACAATCATGCTGATGCACAGTTCACAGATGGAGAATCTGTCCTTGAAGTATATGGTTTTAAAAAAAAAAAAAAAATGATATGTTGATTATTAATGAAAGGTTTTTGCCTTATCTTTTTTTTTTTGGTTAGATTATTTGTGATAAGAACTGAGAAAAAAATGTTTGCCAACATAAATTATGTTGAATTTCTGCCAAAAGTAATGGTGCTGATTTTTAACAACTCTTTCCCAACTGAAACTTCTCTGAATTATAACTTTACTAGTGTAGTTGTGATGTTAAAACTGATGGCAAGAAGGAATGTATTATAAGTTAAATGTATTATAAGTAATTTTTGATTTATCCAAGTACAATTTTGTAATTTAAAATAGTTTGTTGTTGATGTTAATAATTAAACAGTGTACAATTTATAAACACGTAAGGAAAGATATCCGTATATTATCCTCATAAATGTTAAATATTTACAACCAAAATTATGTTTACTGCAAAAGTTCCCAAATCACCATATTGTTTGTATAAACTTTGGAAGGTCTAAGTAATCCTTGACTGTCTGTAGATTCAATCTGTAATTTCAGAGTTTGCTTTTTTTCTTTTCCTACTAAGAGAAATGTATCATCAGATATATATATTTTTTTTAATTTTTTTTCTTAAGCTATGACCAAATTCCACAAGATTTGCTCCGAATTGTAACATAAAAACTGCATTAAAACTATATCTAATTATTTAATTGTATAAGTTTTTAATTGCTATCATAAATAATATAAATGAAGGATGTAGTGTGAACAAAAAAAACTGTTTCAATAAAAAATGAATTATTACAAGAATTTTTTCTCTTCTCTTTTTATTTATTATTATAATTTTTGAAGTTTAAAATGAATTTCTAAAAATAAACGAAGCATTCTTGAAAATATATGTGGTGTATTATATATAAAAACACTCTTCAATAGTGATATCAGTATACATCAACAGGATCAAGTTAGCATGGCCCAAGGTGGGTTATCATTATTTTGCACACTGCCCTCAATTGTTACATGCACACACTCACAAAAAACATCTATATATATATATATATATATATATATATATATATATATATATATATATATATATGAAAGGCAGGATGTGTGTGTGTGTGTGTGTAATGAATGCACGGCCATAAATTTTCGGACGGATTTGCACCAAAATTTACATGCACATGCTCCAAGTTAAGCGGGAAGGCCAAGGCTGATGTTGCATTTCCCAACTCCCATCGATAGTGGAAATAATCGATTTTCATGCTTCTACAGCAGTTTTAATGTAGTTTGCGGCCATTTTCTATTGGCCAGAGT